CACTGTTCATGGGACTGTAAAATAGTACAGCCATTGTAGAAAATGGTATGGTGTTTCCTTACAAAACTGAAAATAGAAATACCATTTGAACCAGCAATTCCATTACTAGGAATATATCCTGAGGTGAGAGACAGAACACTAACAGACATATGCACACCCATATTCATCACAGTACAATTCACCATAGCAAAGAGATGGAAACAACTTAAATGCCCATCAGCAAATGAATGGATAACCAAATTATGGTGCATTCACACAACGGAATACTATTCTACATTAAAGAACAATGCAGAATATGCGAACCATCTCCCCACATAGATGAATCTGGAGGACATTATGCTGAGTGAAATAAGTTCATTGCAGAAGGACAGATATTGTATGAGCCCATTACTGTAAAAAGTCAAGGAAGGGTTTGCTTAGGGAAGAGAACTCACTTTGTAGGTTACTGGGGATGGGAGGGAAGGACAGGGGAAATTTTCAGACTAGTTGGGGGCCACATGCTGAGTTGGGTATGGGGAAGGATGGTGTAGAATGATTTTGTGACCAGTAGGATAACATGGGGGAAAGGGAGGCCACTGAATTGCGTACATAAGATATAGATGACAGCGGCTAATCACAGTATATGCACAATACTGCATTACCATTAACACCAAACACCACACTACAGATAAATGCATAAACAACTGAGAAGATCACATGAGTGTCAATGAACAGGAATATACTCTAGACCAATGATAGAACCCACCAGCCACTCCTCGGAAGGAAGGTTGGGCAATCTACTTCCATAGGGATTCAGCCTCAGAAACCAAAGGATGGGTCATTATGAGTCTGGTCTGACTTGATGGCACATAACAACAACAACAACAATGATACATTCAGCTAAGGATAATCTTGCACAGATATTAGTGATACAAAACAATCACAATCATTACAGAAGCAACAGAAGAGAGAGATGGAGTAATCCCTCAGGGACAGCCAAACACCTTGGGAAAGAGTACCACTGGGTCTGCCAACTCAGGACCACAGTACTAGGGGACACCAGGCTCAATGGGCACAACATAATACATAAAAATCTTGTTCCATAATCTACTTCAATGCATAGTGACTAGGGTCTTAAAAGCTTTCGAGCAGCCATATAAGATGCAGCTAATGGTCTCCTCTCATCTGAAGCAAAAAAGAATGAAGAAACCAAGGGCCTTTGGAAACAATCAGCTCTAGGATATGATGGACCTTGAGACCAGAAGGAACTAGATGATGCCTGGCTACCAATGCCAACCACTCAGGCAGGGATCAAAACTGGAGATCCTGGATAGAGCGGGAAGAAAAATGTGGAACAAAACGTAAAAATATAAAAACAACCAGAATTATTGGTTTGATGGAGTCTGGTGGGACCCCCAAGACTATGGTCCTGGGATACACTTCAAGCCTGGGATAAGACTCACTCCCAAGGTCTGGCTCTCAGCCCAACAATAGTAAGACTTACATGCAGAGCACTCAACCTAGGGCGATGCACCCACCTACTATACAGAAATACACTGCTTGGAGCAATCTGCTATGGGGCACTAGAGGGGCAACATTCACATGGTGGGAAAGCTGGACAGACAGGAGTACATAACCAAGAAGGGAACAGGGATGCGGGGGTCACAGGTCAGAGAGAGGAGGAGAGTGGGTTAGAGTTGGGGATGGTAATTGGGGAGTAACAATTAATGTTCACGAAATGCTGAATATAAAAGAAAATGTGCTCCGTAAATTTGCACCCAAAGCACAATAAAAGAATAAAATAAAATTAATTGACCTCAGAGTACTGCTTTTGTTGTGTCCCATAGGTTTTAATATGTTGTATTTTCATTTTAGTTTGCTTCTAGGAATTTTCCCCCATATTTTGTTTTATTATCCAGTAGTTTTTAAGCAGTTATTTTGTTTTCATGTATTTTATTTTCCCCACTCTCTTCCTATTGTTGATTTCTAATTTTATAGCATTGTGATCCTAGAAGATACTTTATAGTATTTCAGTGTTTTTCAATTTATTAAGGCTTGCATTGTGGCCTAATGTATGATTTATTCTGGAGAATGATCCATGTGCCCTGGTAAAGAATGTGTACTGAGTTTTTGTTGGGTGGAATGTTCTGTGTCTATTAGGTCAATTTGGTTGACTGTGTTTTTGAGATCTTCTGTATCTTTGGTGAGTTTCTTTCTAGCTGTTCTGTCCTTCATTAAAAGTAGTGTGTTAAAGTCTCCTACTACTATTGTGGAGATGTCTATTTGTCTTTTCAATTCTGTTCATGTTTGCTTTATATATTTTGGAGATCTTCATTGGGTGCCTAAGCATTTATTATAGCTATGCTTTTTGCTGGATGGATTCTTTCATCATTATATAATGCCTTTCCTTTTCCTTACATTTGTTTTTGCCTTTAAATCTATTTTATCAGAAATTAATATTGCCAGTGCTGAATTATTTTGGTTGCCAGTAGCTTGATATATTTTTCCATCATTTATTTTTAATGCATTTTTCTCGTTGTGTCTAAGATGAAGATCTTATAGGCAGCATATTAGTGCTGTTTTCTTATCCATTCTGCCACTCTCTTTCTTTTGACTGAAGCATTTAATCCATTCACATTCAGTATATCTAATGATAGGTAGGAATTTATTGCTGTCATTCTTGTGTTTTTTATTGTGGTGTCAATTGTTTCTTTGTTCCAAATATTTTTCTGTGCTGAGTTCATTTTGTTCTCATATTTTCATTTTCTTCATTTCTGTTGATTTGGTGTTTACTAAGTCCTTACGGTTTTCTTATTTTAGTTAGAAGGTTTGTTAATTTTCTTTGTGGTTACTCTGTAATTATTATTTTTTTATTTTCTTATCTTTGAAATACTCTGTTCTATCTTGATAATTTCCTGACTTCTTCTCCATTTGAAAGTCCTTTAATCATACCATTTGTTCTCCTTTTTTATTTTGTAGTTATTGTCATATACAGACTAACTCCTCTGGCTCTTCATTTTCAGTTTTGCAAGAATATTTTCATTTGACAATTTATGTTATGAATTGGTTCCCAGGTGATGTTGCCATGTGTCTTAATCTTAGGTTATTGTCTGTCATTGATGGTTCTCTGTCAGCTAGCATTTCTTGTAAAATTGGTCTGGTTTTACAAATTCCCTTGATTTCTCTTTATCTGGCTATTATTCAAATTTTGGAATCATATTTGAGGGATTGTTTTGCTGGATGTATAATTGTCGGTTGGCAATTTTTTTTTTTCTTTCAAGTTTGTATATATATGTCATCACATTTCCTTCTATCTGCATAGTTTTTGCTTAGACATCAGAGCTCAGTCTTAGTGGTTTCCCTTTGTAGGTAACATTTCGTTTTTCCCAAGTTGTTCTCAAGATTCTTGTCTTCGGTTATGGAAAGTTTGATTATGGTATATCTTGGTGCAGTTCTTTTGGAGTCTATCCTGTACAGGTTAATTAAGATTCTTGGATGGATATCTTTCTGTCTTTCATGATATTAGGGAAATATTCTGCTAGCAAGTCTTTCACAATTTTCTCTTTTTTTGCCTCCTTTTACTCTAGAATTCTAATTACAGGTAAAATTTTCCTTTTGATGTTATCCCATATAATTCTTAAGCTTTCTTCACTTTTCTTCCTTCTTTTTTCTTGATTTTCCTTCATTCAAACTTGTGTCAAGGTATTTGTTTTTTAGTTGGTCGATCTATTCTTCAATAAATTTGATTCTTTTATTTTGCCCTTCCAATGTGTTATCTATTTTCATAATACTAGTGTTCATCTTCTGGATTTCTATTGCTGTACTGCTGTTTATGTATCATTTATAACTCCCTATTTATTTTGTAATTTTGCTCTGGTATTGTTTTCCTGGATTCTTCTGGGCCATTGTCCATATTTTCCTTGATTTGGATTTTTTTTTCTTTTTAAGCTCCTGTTGTTGTTGTGTGCCATCGAGTCATACTGACTCATAGCGACCCCTGCTTGGGTTTCCAAGGAAGTATCACTATGGCAGTAGATTGCCCAACCTTCCTTCCGAGAAGTGGCTGGTGGGTTTGAACAGCCAGCCTTCTGGTTAACAGTCATGTGCCTTAGGTACTATGCTACCAGAGCTCTTAGATGACCCTATGTGTATATTTATTGAATTGCTAGTCAGGTAGTTATATTGCCTGTTCTTTTTCAGGGAGGTTTCCTATTTATTTATTTATTTTTGGTCATTTGCTTATGCTCCCTTGTTCTGTTTCTTTGATTTAAAATAGCTTATTTTCTCAAAGATATTTTGGAGGTTTTTTTTTAATGTGTTGATTATGGTTTAGTTTGTTTCACCTTAATTTTTTGTTTTGCTTTGGTTTGATACATGCGGGCATGTGAGGCAGGCATGCTTCTTTGTTTGCTAGTTTGCCAGCTCCCACCTATTTTGGGTGGATGGGGTAATTGTGACTAAAGGAAAAGGTCATTTTTTGTTGGTCATGATGAACTGTGGATGGGATCAGCAGGTTTTCTCCACTCTCTGTCATTCAGCCAGTGGTGCAGGAATGGATGGTGCCACTCGCTGGTTGTGATAGGTGGTAGATGGTAGAAGTAGTAGGTATGGCTGGCTAGTGGAGAATTAATATGTTACTCCTGTTGGATGGGGAAAGTAAACCAAAGAAAAAGGAAGAATGATAAGAAAGATGAGTGAAAATAAAAGAAGAGGAGGAGTGGTGAAAATAAACATGTGAAAAAGGAGAAAAAATAAAAGGAAAAAGTGAAAAAAGAAGTTAAAGGGGAGCTGGTGCAGCTATGGTCAGCAGGCATTAGTGACATCAGGTGGCTCTCGTGTGATCCATGAGAGTGTGTGCCCATGCAGGAAGGTGGAGCCTACTGCACTAACTTGAGCTTTGAGGAAAATTCAGATTTTACTTCTATGTTTCTTAATAATGTATCCCTTCCAAAAGTTACTAACCCTCTTAGTTACACATTCTTTAGAAGGTAAAAAAAAAAAAAAAAAAAATAGGCTCTTACCTAAGCCGTGTCTATGTGTTGACATGGGTGGCATTACAGACCAGACTTTGCCAACTGGATTAAAACATTCTACAGTATTCAATGTTTTTAAACCATCTCTTCCTCCCACAACATAGAGCTTATTATTGATAACTGCAACACCAAACTGAAGTCTACGGCCATTCATGGTGCCAATATGTAGCCAATTGTTGGTCCTGAGGTCATACTTTTCAATTGTGGTGGTACCTGTTGAAGAGAAATTGAACAATAGTAAAAATTTCTTCTGATTAAAATTTTGAATTGGCATCATTCACATTACATTATATTTATGTACCCACAACTTATAGCACAGAATCAGTGAATCCAACAACACTAAAGTAGCCTAGATGATTCTCCAAATTCTTAGACAAGGCAAAGGGTAAAGTTTTGCCACTCCTGGATCCATATAGGACAGACAGAATAAAAGAATTTATTTAAAATATATGGTTTTTACCTCCATAAAACTTTATTTGGCTAGACTGTGCTACTGGCAATATTAACACACATTTCAAACATAGTTTACAACAACAACAAAATGTCTTAGATCTATAACTAAATGTTTAACATCTATTATAGTTTTAATTGTCTATGGTCATTCAATATGCCCATTTATGCCCTTTTACATTTTCTAGTTTGTTATACTTGTTTGTGTATATGTGTGTGTGTACAGAGTTAAAAGACAAATAACTAAAGGAACAGAATTGAATATTTCTTTTAAAAAGAATCTTTGGTGTTGGTTCACAAAATGTTTCATAACGGTAGCACAAAGGATTATAATTACAAGTCTACAATTCTGAGGCATTTCATCTTTTGTATGTTACTAAAATTTCATGTCCTATTCACTTATTGGAATATCAAATATATTGCCATAGGATATGGTCAGTATTGCTATAGCAAATTGTCACTCCCATAGGCAGTGATTCTTACCAGTCATTCAAAATAGCTGCTGCTATATCTTAATAAAAGATGATTTTGCACATCAGGGAGACTTCTGAACAATAACCAAGGTGGGAAATAAATAAAATAATTATTATTCACACCAAAAATGTACCTAAGAGAGCTTGTGACAGGGTTAAGAAATTTCATTCATATTGTGCAAAGCCAACCAAAAAATAAGCAAAAACAAATTGATTTTTTTTCTGCTACTAAGAGATTTGTGGGGAAAACATAATCCATTAATTATACAAAATTTACATAACATCTGAAATATATTAATTGACAATAATAAGGCTATGGTATAGTATGATATCAAGTCAAAATTTAAGTTGAATATATGTTACATCTATAGCTGCTTCTTAAAGTTGTTCTAAGCACGTTGGTTTAGTGTTCTAAACACACAGTGTTTCTTTTCTACAATTTTAAATATTTTGGGTGAGCAATACCCTTTAAGTTTTTATGTCTCATGATTTTGGACTTTCATAATAAAATCTTGTGAATATAGAAGTATTCATTTACTTTTCCTTTATAAACGATGAATTTTCACTTTGAAAAATTTGGCTTAACAGTGAATTACAGATGATCATTAATTGCTAAAAGGTGAAATAAAAGCATCTAATAGAGTATTAGTTTTACACTAGATGATCAATAAGTATCTTGGGAATATCCATAAATAAACTAACATCTACTTTTACTCTCTTTGCTTCCATCCAATAAATTTTCTCTGAATGTTTTTGTAGTTTTCCATTTATTTCAATCTTTCCAAATCTGTTTGCCTATCTGATTCTTCCTATTTTCACTTATCTTCCCATTAGTGGGATTTAACCAAGGACCAATTAAGATAGAAAAAGAAGGCTAGGTTGTACTGATTATTAAGATTATGAAGATATTAATGGTGAGGTAATTACTCAGGAAATTATACAAAGCTATGTGAATTAGCTATATATAAATGACCTGGAAAATGTAGACATCTGCTTCCTGACAGGTTAATTTTTTCTTGCCATAAGATTGAAAATAGGAGATAAGATTCCCCCACACCTCTTTATTGCAACCACAAACACTTATGATTAGTAGTTTTGTATCTTGGGCTATGAAGACTTCTTCAGCCCCTCTGCCCGCACCCACTGCTCCAATTAATCAAAATGTAAATCTGCTAGCTGGCTTACGTGGCAGATCTATTTTTGATGGGGACAAAGATATAAAATATTTTTGGCAGTTGACTCTCTAGGATTT